CCTAGCTTCTTGTGCGTCTAGGAGTCTGAAGCATCACAACAGTTGTTAATCGACTGCACAGCAGTCTGTAGGCGCAGGATAAAGGCCCTTGAATCAATTTATCAATTTCACTTATGTAATTTATTGTTATAAAAAAAATAAACTTGCGTCAATAAATATTACAAAKTATGAAAATAGGAACTGATTTGATTAGGAATATGGAATATACCTAGAGAGCTTACAAAAATAATACCGAGAAATTTTTGGGTTTCTAATTTTTTCTAGTAAATCTATGGTATAAGCTTTTTCTCCAAATTGTTCACGCTTTATTAGTTGGTACAATATGGTACTGTATTCAACAGAAATATGTTCTCAAATATTAATGTGCCCTTTTCATCTATTTTGCTACATTATATGTCACGAAAATTTGGTAATTCCAAATCAAATTGTTCACTTAATAATAGCTTAAAAACTTTTTCCTAATTGCCATTGTCATATTAAAAACAAAMATATTACAAACTTTTTTGATTTACTTTGTTTAAAATCAACAATAAACTTGTATATTGATTACAAAATTGTTTTATCTCCGATTCAATCGGTTTTTACATTTGCACCGAAGTTATGCAAATATTCAGCATTTATTTGCATATTGTTGTTTACCCATCGCTGATGTGCTATACAGTAATATTCAATAAATATGGCAGATAGGAGGTAAAATATATTGTCGCAATTACGCGTTTACCTTAAATCAATGCCCGACAAATTTAGTGTTTATTTATTAAATGATGCGTGCTACATTTACATATTTCCCACATATGTGTGCAAGTAATAGCATTTTGATCTGTATCAGTTGCAATTGCTTATTTACTTTAGATGCAGTTGTACTAATTTACTGTAATGCACAAGGAAAATATAATTTATTCTATTTGGTTTATTATCAAAAAATATAGTTTATGTATGTGCATTAGCAATAGTTGTGGTTTGCAGGTTTATTATACTATATAATTGTATTGTTATATAGTTGAAGGTAAGCTCATGATTCTATTTGAAGCAGTTAGAGGTAGAGGCATTCTTAGTGGATTAGCATACAACCCAACTGTCAGTCATATGATGAATATTTATGTTAGTAAAGCTGGGAAAATTACGGGGCATCTCGACAAGATAGAACTACCGGCATTCCGTGCCGGTGGAGACTCCACATGCTCGTAGCATACTATATGTAGRATACTATCTAGTTTGCCATATATCGTAAGCTATGAGCTGTCACTTCAACCAGCGCAGTTTTCATTTCTACGAAAATTTCGTTATATTATAAAAATAAAGTACATTTTCAAAAYAACATTTTTCCAAAAAATTAATATTTATTTTAATATTGTTAATTTACAGAAAAATTGTGCAAATTGGGAATGAGCGAAATCTTAAACTTAATAAACTTATACAAGCATAAATCAAAATATAATTGCTCATTTTAAATTTATTATTYTAATGGGTATATAAAATTTATGCCACAATTATTATATAGTATCCTTTACCACACAAAAGATTTCAAACGTGCACTACATCAGCTACCTAGATGACGGCATTTCGCAAATGATAAAATAAAATTTTTAAGAGCTCAAAGTATGCTCGAACCTGCCTACCCTACGCCTTTGCTTAAATGATTATATGTGACCTGGTCTACGAAAAGGGAGCTAACGTGTGAAAAAAAGTTTTCTGGGAAACAGCCGTTAAAAATCTCATCTTCCATCCGAATCAACTAAAAAGTGAAAATCGATTTTTTGGATTTTTTGACACCTAAGCCCCCTTTCCGTAGACCAGGTCACATATCATGATAACAAATGCCCACATACAGATTTGGCAATGGCAATAGCAATACGTTTGACAGCTAGTACTATAAATTCTATCCTGTCGAGATGCCCCGTTACCTTGCAAAAAATTTTAAACTAGGATTATAACAAAAAACTACCGCATTTTTTTATTTTTTCCATCTTATTATTTCAAGCGATTACGACTATTTCCGACTAATCACATACATATATAATACACCGTATTTAGACTGCTCACTGCCCGTTACGATTTGTATGCTGAAGCTATAATTATTGCATACATTCTTAAATATGACAAGTAGCCAATTTTATCGCAAACGCCAATGCTGACTACTAGAAGCATGCTTTATTTTCTTTGCCACTCTTTGGTTCCATACTCCAATTTGATTATTCCATGTGTTAAGTAATACGGTAAATACGCTACAACACAGAACGCTTGAAACCATCAATGGATAGACCTGTCTGTTGGAAACACGTAATATAAAAACAATTAAGGAAGAGCTAAGGGCATCCAAGAATTAGAGTCCGGGAAATGGTGCAAAATATCAACAAATACTGCCAGACACATTAAGGTTTATTAGAAAAACAAAATTCTTTAAAGTAGTAGATGGTACTTGGGGGTAGTATTTAACAGATTTTATCTATTTTTCCTACATATGTACTATTAACATTACACATACTACAAATCCAATAATATGGAGTAAAGTCAGCCGCATGTTCGAAAATCCTTAAAATAGTTTTATGGGGCTAGACCAAGTTTTCACCCAAATTTATCTATTTTAGGCACAAAGATACACTGTTTTGAATAAAATATGCTCTCTTAATTTCATAGAGATAACTCATATGTTGGCCGATATAAACGGTACAAAGTAGGTATATGGGGGCTGAGAGAAGTATTGGCCCGATTCAACCCATTTTTTGACACACAAACCAAATATTGATAGTGTTAGGATTATCCCTAAATATCAATTATTTATTTCACATTGATATTTTCGATCAAAAGTCAACTTTAGGTACTAGAGTCCAAATATTCGGTACCTAGCGGCTTGAACAGTTTTTTTAGATTTTAAAAACTTTTGGKCATAAGTTCGCATACACAACTTTATCCCATTACATTAATTGATTTTTGATTTATGTACTGGAAAGCTAAGGAATCAAGCGRAATTTAAAATTTTTCTATATTGAAAGTAGTCGTGGTTCTAGCCTGATTTCGCCCATTTTYGTACTGCGACAAAATAATATAAAAGTAATGGTACGTGCAAACYTTTTTTCAAAATCGGTCAATCGGGTCTTCAGATATGAGATTTAACCAAAAAATGCCATGCTTATTGTCCAATTTTCACACCGACTCCAATAAAGCCCTCTTATACCATCTCGAAGGTAAATTTTAATGTCTCTGCTGTTTTTAGTTCTTGAATAATTGTGCTTTTATTAGTCTTTAACAGTATTTTATTAGTATTTTCACACCATCGGTAGGAGTTTCAATTATATTTGCACTCAGTTAATTTTGTTGTTATAGCTTTAGTGGTTTACGAGATACTAAACTAATTATAGGGCGGGGCCACACCCACTTTTTAAAAATTTGTWGCCAAGCGGTACCTCTTGCTATTTTGATTCTCTGTGCCAAACTACAGTTTTATATCYTAATTAAGTGCTAACTTATGACACTTTATTTGTTTTCGGTTAATGGCGATTTGAGGGCGTAGCAGTGGTCCGATTAGTATATTAAGTTTGTCACGAAGATTGTAACACCCAGAAGGAAGCGTCGCAGACACAATGAGGCATATTTTTATATATACATTATCAGTATGTTGAGCAGAGTGGATTTAGCCATGTCGGTCTGTCCATCCATCTTTATATATGTACGAACTAGACCCCCAGTTTTTAAGATATCGCTTTGAAATTTTACAAACGTCATTTTCTCTTCAAGAAGCTGCTCATTTGTCGGAACTCCCGATATCGGACATATAGGTGACATATAAACTTAACGATCGGAATTAAGTTCTTGTATGGAAAACTTTCGCATTTGACGTGGTATCTTCACGAAATTTGGCATGGATAATCTCCGAAAAAATTGTTCAGAACGGATTRCTATAGCGTATAGTTTCCATAAACTGAACACATAGTTACTAAAAGAAATGCACMTGGATTCTTCTACGGTGCAGCCGAAGTTAACATTTTATCTTGTTTTGCACTAAGAAATCTGCATRCCAAGTTTCATCAAGATATCTCAATTTTTACTGAAGTTACAGCATGCAATGACGGACGGAAAGACAGACAGTCATCTGGATTTAAACTTTTCTCGTCATCCTGATCATATATATATAACTCCATATCCATTACTTTTAGATGATAAATACAACCGTTATGTGAACAAAWCTATAATACTATGTAGCAACAGRTTGCAAGAGTAAAATAGGAGCAAGTACGGTTCATATGAAACACTATACAGCAACCATCTTCGCAAAATCAAATATATGTATATGTATATAGTATATGGCCACCAATAAAAACAAACTCTGTATTTATCTTAGGATTAGAGAATTTAAAAAGTAGATGCTGAATAATATCAACAGATGAGCCCTTAAAGCTCATCAAAACCCAGAGATGAACGAAAAGAAAGTTAGAACCTCGTGATCTAAAAACATGAATTCATTAAAAAAGGTAGGTAATTAGAAAACTGTTAAAGCAWCGGTAAAAAGTTATAGGCCATATTAAAATCGGAGAAAAGTTAAAAAAACAGTTTTTAAGTTCGTTGAGGTTCTGATTAGAGCTCTTTTGGAGGCATGAGTATTGTCTGGCCTTTAAGCTTTAGTGGCTTCATTTGTCAGAAAATCTGATACCGTATTGCCTTAATATTATATAATCTGTTTTATATTTTTATTCTTATAAACTTCATCGACGACTTGGATTCAAACATATGGCTTTGAATTAATTTTTTAAGTTAAAAGAAAGACTTTTTTGTCAACCGAAATCTTTTATTCCATTAATTATACACTTATTAGARTTATCTTATACTGACTACGACTATGTGATAATTAAGTCTTTACTTTACTTATATAAATCTTTACTTACTTATTGTAGCGAAATTCTCTCTGAAATTATCTCACCAATWTCTGCATACTCACTTTACTCACACTTTACCATCTTTTCTTCTCTTTGCTGCCATCTTCTCGGCGCTCRTTTCATTTGCAGATTACACACAAAGTTTGCGGCTGGTCGAAGTGCGAATACCAAATTACGTGGTTAAGGGTTCATCAGCACAACTGGAATGCCTCTATGATTTGGACGGTGAGTCGCTGTACTCGGTGAAGTGGTACAAGGACGGCAACGAATTCTATCGATACGTGCCACGAGACATGCCACCAGCACAAACGTTTCTGCTGCCGGGTGTAGCAGTTGAGGTGAGTGAAAAATAGCAGCAGTCGTAACGGCACTTACAGGCGCGTACGTGCGTGCCCYCATATGTATGTGTTGTATGCGCGCACAGTTAAGTGCAGCACACAACTTTTCGCCGAAATTTAAACTCACTCACACAAAATCATAAATTCACGCGTTACCAAGCCTTCAGCTCTGCCTGGGTGTGTAGGTGTGTTATAGTGCGGTGCATTGTGGCAGGCGACATGTCTAACAGCGATTCCACGATCATCGATTGTATGCAAAACTTTTGTGTATAAATTTCAGGCATGTTTGCATTGCACCTGCATTGCTCAAGACAGCCAAGCATGTCAGCTGCCTTGGTCGTGTGCGTGTGTATGTTTGTGGGCGCATGCGTAGCACAAAAAGCGAAAGTTCACGCAAATAAGTTTTGCTTTCTGCTTGTATTACTTTGAATTTTTGTTGGTAAAGGATCTGTGAGCGTGTCTGAGGTGAAAATAATGCAGCACAGCGTACACCGTGTGCATACTCGCTTCCAAGTCAACGGTGTGTAGGAGAAACTTTGCGCTTTTTGTGCGCGCACAGCCAACTTAAAGCGATAAATTTCGACAAAAGCGAAGCGCAAACGTGAGTGCCAAAGAGATAAAAAAGTGTAAAAAGCGTAATTTGGCAGCCAATTGGTGGTCGCTTTTAGTAACAGCCTTGTGGCACTAAGACAAAAAGTGTTGGCGGAAAGCTGCTTTAGATAAACTGCAGCGCAACTCCTGTAGAGAGTGCAAGGAGGGTGAGTAAGCAAACATGCACTTGCCATAAAAAGTTACACACAYAATTACACCAACTTACCTGCAACAACTCCGCAAGTAAGGTAAATGCGGTTGTACACAGCACATTTGGCAAAAAGTACACTAGGGCTCCAAGTAGCTCTGTAATATTTGCGTACATGCTTCTAAGAAATAGACATCGAAAAATGTTTGCCAAGTTCCGTTATAAAAATGTACATTGCATACCTGCTACATGCCTGCGAATGTATGTAAAACTATACATACACTTTTATAAGGCTGGTAGTTTACAGCTGCAACTGTCGTGGTTAAAGTTCWGCGCATTTCGGTCGGAGTTTCTTAGCCGACTTCACTTTCAAGTAAAATAGTAATAAATTTTCTGATTGCGTTGCATGGACTTCAAAGTGAGCGTGTCGAGTTGTTGCAACGTTCGTTGCATGAAATATACATAAAAGCTGCGGAGTAGCCGGAGTAGATACAAAATAACTAAACCATGCTCTAATAGATCAGTATACAAAAGACTATGTAAACATAATAAAACTTTTCTCAGTAGCCACGCACAACCTGACAAGTTCCAATACACCTACAGTCGTGGGCATTGAAATGATCTAAAGTCGTGACTTTATTCCCTCAAAGTAAATTTCGAAATAAGARACTACAATAATAGCATATTGTACAAAGAATACGGGATATTTACAAAAATTTTAATAGCTCTATTAAATAAAATATAAGGCTGGACATATCAAATTAAGTACGTCAGCCATGCAAACAGATCAGYTAAGTTACCTTACTAAGCGGTTTTGCGAAGAATCTACTCTGCGGGACATAAGCTTTAAAAGTCTTAGTAGGCAAGGCTGCACACACTTTTTCAAAAAGGTCTAACTACACTATTTTAAGAAATATATCCACAAAGTTTCAATCATTACTAATTATACTATTGTACTTGCTGCAAAATTTTCATGAAAATTTAAAAACTTAGAATATTCAGAAATTTATTACCATTATTCAGTAAGTAATGGAAGTAAATTTATTTGTGAAATTATTATCGGTTAAACACATCGATTTAAGTTCGAAAACCTGCATTGTGTATACTTACAGCCATTTATAAAATATTCTTCTTCTTCTTGATTGGCGTAGTCACCGCTTACGCGGTTATAGCCGAGTTAACAACAGCGCTCCAGCGAGGTTCTTCTGAACTTGATCTTTAAAACGGTTGGAGGCCTTTCTCTTCCTCTGTTTCCACTGGCGGGTATTGAATCGATAACCTTCAAAGATAGAGAAAGCTACAAATTAATTTGGTAGCATTATTTTATTGAAAAGTCTACAGATTTTGCTTCACACATGCTTTTTATGAAGGAAAACGACACATTTAAATGAAAGAAGTTAGGCACTCCCGGAAAGATTTGTATTCGTATATATATTTTTTTATGCCTTGGCCGTATTTCACAACAAACTGMTTATAAGTTCCTGACTTATTATTYAAGAAAATTACATTTTTGTCAAAAYTATATCGGWATTAATSTTTTTCTTGACATTTCATTTGAAATCCACTACACTTTTTACAATAAAGCTTTTAGAAGCGTCGGTRTATTCGTAAGGAATTGAAATTACGTTTACGCCTTCTTCATTACCACACATTAACTGAAAACACTAAAGGCTGTTGCCATACCAACAACACGATTCTCTTCCCTTAACATTGAAATTGTTCCTTTATTTTCAATGGCACCGTAATCAATATAGGCTGCAACCTATTCTATCTTTCTGAGCTAAAAAATTCAAATCACTTAGCTATAGTTTTTTTGGGATATTACGTTTATAAAATATATATAGTATAGTTGTATCTAAATTATTTGATTTGATACCAGATTTGATAGCGTACAATGCGAAAACTGCACTCTGGGACATACGAGCATAATATACGTACTTTTCCATGTCAAAAACCAAAGTCTTAGAAAACGGATGTTTAAGAAGKCATATAATTTCATCTACGCTATGTACACATTTTCATGCCCACAACTGTGTGGACTGATATGTTTATATAAAAAGCACGTTTTGACTGTCAATTTAGTAGCAAAGTTTAGTCAGCAGGCTAAATTTTACATGCGGGCAATTTGGAACTAAATTTACATTAGCTTCCCAACAAAAGTTACTCATACGCCCCGTGTCGTGTGGTAGCGCAAACAAGACATTTTTATATGGATATATTTTGACAACTTTATATTACCTGCTTTTTATGTATTTACAGTACTTTTTTATTTTTGCTCCCTAAATATGTTTATATAATTTTCAATGGAATTTACTTGCATTTTCCAGCTTCACAACTCCAGCGATGCCATAGTTACGCTGCACAATGTCAACCTACAGTCGGCGGGTCGCTTCCGCTGCGAAGTTTCCGGTGAAGCGCCTTCTTTTCAGACAGTCACTGAACATGGCGATATGGTTGTGGTCTGTAAGTACAATTGATTTGAAAAATACTTTTTCTATCTATATATATTTAAGTAAATATTTGCAATAATTTATAAAAGACATTAATTGGCAAATGGGATGGTTCAGATTCTGATGAATTAGGATATTTAAAATATTTAATAAATATTTTAAAGTAAGTTAACTTTTATATTTACGGCAAATCAAAATTGTTAAATAATATCAAGAATAAAAGCTGTCGTAGCCATTCGATATTATCACATTTCTCATAATTCATAAAAATGTTTTTATCATGGCTCAATTTGTTCTGATATTTTTTAGTTGCGAAACCTTTTTGCATATGCTTTTTAAATCACTAGCCAATTTATTCGTTAATCTAGCGTAATTAACAGTTATTTGYTCAAATTGTGCAGCTTTTCAACCAATTTATAGCTTAGCGCGCAAAACGCAAATGATTCGTGTAGCTTTGAAAATATGCTTGAGTTTTTCTTCCACTATTTCTCCAGCGCTTTTTTGTCCGTCTGTGGTTTTAGCAATTGCTTGGCTGCAACTCAGTTCGTCTGGTGGTGAGCCAATTTATTTTGGCTCTGTGCATTCACCAATTTTCCGTGTTATTTTTTAGTTTTTCAATTCCACCTGTAGTTTTTCAACCGTGGCAGACGGAGGGAAAGCGGATATAAGTGTTTGTGCAAATTCATATTGTGTTGAATCGAGTGTAAATAGAAAATGATAATTCAAAGGTGTTATTATTATTGAAGCATTCATGTACAAATACATATACTTGTATATTCCAATACTGTCAAAGTTTCATGAAATTGCCTTAGATTGGTGTCAAGTTAATGGTCTCAAAGAGACAATAGCTCTGTTAAATTTATTTACATGGRCAAAAGTGCAGTAAATTGAAGGAATCTGAAGGTTTCGAAACTTAGAGGGCAGCTATAAAAATATTTAACCGCCGTTAATAGCAACACCAAATGCTCATTCCAAAAGATATTGACAATACTCAAGTACAGTTCGTAATATATACAATACACATTTATTTTTAATTTACAAATCACATTAAACATTGTAACTGTTATGATATATTTCATTTTTTTGTTTTTACTTTAAGCTCTACCTGATCAGGGTCCACCGAAAATTACTGGTGGCCGTCCACGTTACCAAGTCGGCGACTGGGTGCGCGTAAACTGTACAGTTGGCCGCTCAAAGCCAGCCGTTGATCTGTCATGGTTCGTTAATGGTGAACCWGTTGAACCGCGTACTTTGAGAAAATATCCCTCAGTTATATCTGGACGTGARGGCTTGGAAACTTCCATCTTAGGCTTGCAGTTTCGGGTTGAACAGCATCATTTTCGGAACAGCGATATGAAACTAAAGGTTAGTACATTCCTTAAATAAGCGCTAGAGGCTAGCTGGTTATAGTACATAACCGAAACTACCGATAATTTGTTGAACTCGTCTTCGCTCCGTATAGCAGAGCAATATTTAAATATCGGCGAATGGACCAAGGCAGGAAAATATGACAACATTAGCTGCATCGTAGCTACAATAATTACCCAACCAACTGAAATAAATTTAGCGGCCTGCGTTTTCTTACCAAATGAAAATATTTTGCTAGATCTGAAAACTTTATGCTTTATACGGAACCTATGGTTATCTTCGTAAAGATATATCATTAAATAAATTTTGATTTGATTTTTATCGATTAGTTTATATGGCAGCAATATATTCTAGAGTGGTTCGATATCCACGATTTCGACAAACGTGATCAATAGCTCATAARCTGATATGAAAGAGTTTATTTTGAGTAGTAACGATTTTATTAAAAATTCAAGAAATAATAATAAGTGTTATGATTTTTAAGATTGTAACGCCCAGGGTGATCCAAGTAGATGTACCTTTTACAATAGCCTTTTTTGACAGGACGTTTCAGGCTGTCATTTTATTTCTGTTCAGTATTGTTTGRAATATCAACACCGAAAGTCTTAAGCCTGCTCAACGTTTGCAACTCATTMAACTTTACTACAAAAATACTTGTTCTGTAAAGAATGTGTGCGCTTCAAACACCATCACCCATCTTGAGACCCAGCATTCATTGATGTTCATTGATATTCGACTGAATATGCCACGTCTAGCACGCAGACCGTGGGGAGTTTCTGTAATAAAGTAGGGAACCTCGAAATATGTAGGTCACCTTTAACAAGATCAGTGCCACGCCTGTCCGYCTGTATTTAAGTAGATTATAACCTCAGTTTTTTGAACTATYGATCTGAAATTTCGCGTATTGTAGGAACCGTGGATATCGGACCACTATAGCGTATAACGGCAGTACAAATGAAACAATTAGAATCAAGTTCTTGTGWGGACACTCTTTTAGTTGTTCTTTCTTCGGTGAACAAGAGGTTAACTGGTTTTCTGGTATTTTAAGAAATATTAACTTATTTATAGTGGAAAAAAAGAAGTTGTTATTTATAAGGTAACACACTCTCACTTTATCTTATAATCACGATAATACAATAAAAACGTATAATTATATAAATATCTCCATGAACTGTATATGTGAAATTATTTTAACATTTTTTTTTTTTTTGCGCTTTTCATTTTAGTGCGTTGCTTCGCTGTCCACCTTGTATTGGCGCAGCAACGAAGAGTCCGTCGAGGGCGATCGCCCGCAAAAAGCGCCCGTCTTAGAGTCGCGCGAAACTGTTTACGCCAGCAATTCGCGCGCCGATCCAGTGCAAGGTATGTCACTCCGGGAAATATTTGTTACCAAAATCTTATCGTTTTTCATTCAACCAAATGCAGCCAGCAAAACGGACTCACATCTAGTGGCGCATGCGCCTAGTTTGTTGCTGTTGCTGTTGGTGGCGAYGGCCGTTGCCAGCGGCTGCCTCGAACAGTTGCACATGTGGCAACAGTTGTTCACCAAACAGCCAACGCGGCGCCTGCACGACAATTGTATGCAACAGCAGCAGCAACAACAACAACAACAAAAACGAAAAGATATCGAACATTGCGCGCAACAGCAAAATGAACAAGTAACGACGCAGCAAGAGCGCCATGCACAACAACAGCGAGAGACGGAGAAACAAATAATGCAATGGCAACAGCAGCAGCAACAGCATATAAAACGAATTGTTGCCGGTGAAATCAATCAGTTGATGAGCAGAGAATACCAAGCTATAATACCACTGTTCCAATGCCAGCGGCAGCAACAGCAACAACAACACAGCCAACACTGGCTACAACAAACAGCGGAGAATCAAGTGTGCCGACAGCATTGGCATGTTAATGAGAACAATGAAGGCGTGGCACGGAAATGCAAAAGCATGTACGAATTGAAATTTGTTAATTTATGTGCGGAAATGCTGCCGGYATTGACAGCAATGACAACAACATCCGCCGCGGCGACATATGCCWCTTTCGCCGCCGCTCATTGGGACGCGGATGCAGTGGATACCGCCGATGTTGTCACAGCTGTCGCCGCGGCATTGCCAATTAAACGATTGCTGGCTGTGAGGTAACTGCGCTGCGCAGCGGTGAAAGAAGTCTAAGCGAAAAGAAAGGCTACTCTACCATAACTGSACTGTCGCGTCGCAGTGCTGCAGGGTGACGAGCCATGCAACTGAGCTATTGGCCAAATAAAAGAACAAGCGAAAGAAGGACAAAAATGAAAAGTTTAAATTTAATTTCAACAAATTCGAAGGACAGCAGTCGAATGGAACTGCTGCCGCTGACGCTTTGGATTTCAAATTACAGTTACGGCAAAAAATTGAAAACTTCCTTTGAAACCAATTTGCGTAAATAAAATGCAGTAAATGAAAATTAAACAAATTAATTATTTCAAGCAAAATTTTTTCAAAAATGTGAAATTACCATAATTGAAATTATGTAAAACATGGAGAATGCAAATCAAAACTGCACGCTTTTGAGTTGATAGTTTATGTGTACCGGCGTGTGTGRGTGAATGTGTTATAAGTGTTTGTGTGTGTATGCAAGTGTGTAAGATCAATTCGAAAGCAGTTAGAAACAGCAAAAATACTTATAAGTATGTATATGTGAATATAAATGAAGAGCAACTACTGAATTTTTATCAAATTTATTTAAAATGAATGGAAAACATTTAAACTAGTTGTAATTCAATTACCATAAAGTTAGAATTAGACTCAATGTCTAGTCTAAATGAACAATGAACATTTACATACATAACATACAAATTACTGTTAAATGTAATTAGCTAGCAAAAAAATAAAAATTAAACAAAAATAGAATTGTTATATTTGTTAAGAGGCGGTGAAGTGCAACGAGATGTGGACGGAGCCCCTTACGGGAATATGCAAATGCTTATTCGAAAATTAAAAATTTATTTGAGGTCGCGTTGACGACACAARGAAGATATCTCCGACCCTTGAGAGTAGTGTCGAATTCGATTTGACTGAATTTATTAATAATTTCCCTACCTTGACTTATTTGGAGGAAGCGTGAAAATCAGCGCGCAGCTAATATTTGCAACAATCTTCTGAAAACATATTAAATTTGTGTGTTTCCTAGTATCAGCCAGTCCAAAAACTGATTATGATTTAATTACACAACATACCATAGTAGCTATCGTATATTTTATAGAAGGTTAGCCAAATTCGCGAAATTTCGTATTACTATTTAAATTATTTAGAGTCTCTAAAAAGGTATTTTAAATTTTTTTGGCAACAAAATAGGTCCTATACTTTCTGAGATACTATGTTTGCATTCAGACGAACTTTTCCAAACACGTGATTTCCTCCTTCTTCACCAAACTGTCTTGAAATATTCGTGCTGAGTTTTGAGTTTTAAATTTTCTAAGTTACTTTAATAGGTAATCGTATATACGTATAACTTTTGCTATTAATTGTGAACTATGACATAGAAGAAAAATACTAAAAACACAGCAACTTTAATTTCCTTCCATAAATTGCACTTCATACATATCTCTAGCCTTTTCACCAATTTTGATTGTAATAGTGGAAAAATTTCGTTTGTTAACCGTAAGGATCCATCTTATGTGTGTTAATTATCTCAAATATTTAGAGGCAGGCCTTAGCTGGCTTTTAAAGACCGTATAAATATAAGCGAATAAAGGCAAACAAAAGAAGAATATATGAAATTAATTGAAAGATTTTTTAGTTATCTCTTCATTCTAAATAATTTTGTCTACAATACCTTCTATGAATGATTCTGTATATTTTTATACTAAACTTAGCAGCAACATAGACATGAAAATTTCTAAAAGTCTGTATGGCAATCGGTATATTTGCTACTCAAGGACGATGACATTTCAGTTGCACTTCGTCAAATTCTTTTGAAATTTAAAAAACGACATTTTTGTAAATATATACACACTTATAACTACATATATATTATATTATATATGACAGTATATAATTTTAMATAGAAAAGCATATACTTAGTATATGTGTACCACATATGTATAGCTAATAAGAAGAAATTGATTACAATTTAGTACTAGCGTTAAAAATCAAAATCAAACTCCATTACTGTTGACTAATGAAAGAAAGTCTTAAACTTCAACACAAACATATCGAACATTTTATGAATTGCCAAAGTTTTTACTAATATAAATATGCTGATAGTGAGTATAATTACGATAATGATGTTGAGTAGTATAACAAACATTTTTTGCCACGTAACAATGTAGTGAATAATATAAATATTTTTGGATAAAGAGTTTAGTTTTCAAATTTTCTTATGTGTTTGTGAAGTAATGATTAAAGATTGAACTTGGTTGGTGCAATGTGTATACTATGCAATTATTTGAGTCGAGTAAGAAAGTACTTTCATAATTTAATAGGGAAGTTTTCTTTACAACAATAAAACATTCCAGGACATTTGCCAAATCAACAGTGATAAGTAATATTACACACAAGCCAACACCCAAATACACACACTTGTATATGCAGCATTTAAGAAATATAATAGTATATAACAGGCAGAAAATATTAAAATTAAATCAACAAACGGTAATATTTTGTAACTTCTTCATGCATTCAATCAAATCAGCCTAAGACACTCCAATTTGTATATTTATTGCAAGAACAACAACAGTAATAATGTGTGGTCTTTAGTTGAAGGAAATTAAAAGTTGTATCTAACTCATTTTAACTGTAAATATATGTTTTGTAACTTTACTTAAATTTAATACTTACAAAATTTCAAATCACTTACAGACTAATATACATACAAACATGATATATACATATGTACATGTACTTATGTCCTACATAAACATTTAGTTAGTAGAAGGTTGACGGTTGTAAATACATACGTAGTTGAGTCGTGGCAATATAAAAATGTGTAACCAGCTCCGCAAGGGAGTTTTAATTAAGAAAACAAAAAAAAAAAAATTAAATCAAAATGAAATCAAAATCCAAATGTGCGCCAATCTAACCAAAAATTATTTCTAAGTACTCGTACAGTCCAAATTTTCTATTTATAAGCCAATACATGTCAGAGGAGTAAGGAAAAAAAATCAAAATTTCAGATATCTTTGAAAAGTTTAACTAATATGTCCGAGCTCAATTAAGCGCTAAACTAAATATTACRAAACAAAACAACAACAAGCATATACATGAAATGTGTTTTGAACATAATGAAATCCCTAAGTATTCGTAATTGTAAAATAAATATTGTGTATTTACTTGCAAACTTAACAAATTAAATTAAAAATGCCATAACTATATAAAGTAAAAATAACGAATTCAAAAACTAACAAAATTAAATAAAAACTAATTAAAATGTATTATATGTAGTTAAGTGCGATAATTGATATATTGTAAATATTTGTCTTTATGACTACTGTAATTCAATGTATGAGCAGGAWATGATGTGAAAACAAAAGAATTATYAAGTCAAATATAAATTATAATAATAAATATTTGTTTGACGATGACCCACACGACTTTTATTTATTTGAAACTAGAGGACCCGTCCACGCCTCACTGTGGCTAATATGTACGTASATAATACTACTATGATTTCYATTAGTTGGATTATAACTATTAGTGAATGAGATATACCATTCTTGTGAAGCAACTTGTGTTAGTTTACAAAAAAATGGATCATAAAGCATTTTGTGTGTCCGTAAAGCACTGCTTTTTGAGATAAAATACTGTTGAATYCTGGCTCAGGGAAATCCAACGTTGAAAAGATATTTGCTAAGCTAGAAATAGGCGAAATGAGCGCCAAGAACAATGATGCTCTTTAGCTTTGTGCAAAGTGAGTGCCTCGCAAGTTCATAATCCAACAAAAACAACGAATAACTGATTCTGAGGAGAGCTCTTTAATCGTAATAAAACCGAACYTTGGCRTCGGTGTGTGACAATAGAAACATAGCTCCATCATTTCCCACTGGAGTCCAATCGACAGTCATTCTAGTGGACTGCACACGATCAACCGGTTTTTAGGCGTGGGAAGAYGAAAAAGTATATCTTCAAATGATTGCTATRAACATGAATTTTGAAMAAATGCYTATGATTTGAAATATAATTTTTGTATATATGAATTGTTTTGAATTTTAACATAAAGAGAACAAAAGTATCCTATGTCCTTACCCTGGTTCTAAGCTACCTTCCCACCAATTTTCAGCCAAACTGGTTCAGCCGTTCTTGAATTATAGATGGTRTAACTAACAYAACTTTCTTTTATATWTACACATAAACTGATATAAAATGGTAAGTCGAATTGGACATTTTTAAGGCAATAACAATTTACAAACAAGTGAAAATTTGAGGAATAAGTGCACAACATGATTAAAAATAACATACCTAAACCTATTCAGTGATCCGATATGTGAAAAGCAACAAAGATCAATATTCTCTTCTTCTTCTATATACGCTGTATATGCAATTATAGCTCYGTAATTAGAAATCTCGTAACGCCGACTCTTCAGATATTGCTCGACCATATCGAATAATATCCAAGTGTATGCTGCCGTGGAGAAATATTATTTGTTTTACACTCCGGTTATTGCAAAAGACAACTTAACTACTGTGCAGAGAACAATAAACAGAACAAAAAGTGATAAGTGATTTAAAGTTTACATGAAACAATGRCCACAAGGTAGATGTACTATCACTTGTCAGCAGCACTATTTCTTCATGTCGTATTTATTGATTGAATATAACGCAGAAACCCTTTACGATTTCATTTCTATATATAAATATATTTTTTGTATTTATACAGTACCATATACATACGTACTTGTATGTCCTACGTCAATAGAGCTTAAATTTTGAAATTTCACAGTATGAAGCTGAATAGATCGGCACTTTCCTTCGTCCCTCCGTGGAATACTCTATATTTCGATTTAATAACGGTTAGTTAAATTATTCTTAACGGTTRATGATATGACAGCTTCGAAACAAAATAAAACAAGCTCAGCCATCTGGTTGATTTTAAATCGCCGTTATTACTCARAGAACGAAGCATCTCAATTAATTTCGGAAAAGCTAATATTTAGCTTGGCAAAATGTAAATATATTCCATAATTCCATATTTTACTTTGACAGTCATGAAAACACTGACTACAGTTATCCAGGCTGATCATAAATCTGAAATATGAATTAAGTGGGACCTATAGCACAAATGTTTTTTGTATTAAAAATAGTTCGTTTAATTTTTTAATACCGAATGTTGAATAGACACTRGATATTTCTTTTAAATGTAGAAAGCCTCCTCTGACTACTTCATACACTTTTCAACCCAACCATCCATGTTAAAGACTAATGTTCAGCTTATAAATAGCAGATCACTTCCATACTTCAGTCTAAAGAACAAATCTTATTGAAAGTTTTGTTGTATAAAATAATACAGTATGTAGTGGAGACTCTACTTGTTAGATAGGGACGAGTAGTGTTRTTATACATATCATCTTCTACAATATATCAAATGTATTGCCTTTTTTTTATTCAAATAAATATGTCTTAGTATGTAAAGGTAATAGAACATCGAATACTTTATTAATGTCATAGATTTTGTGTCAAATCTATACGCTTACGTTATCACTCTAATTGGCTTGACATTCCTCTGGCCATACCTAATTCTACGGGAAGCTTAATTCATCTGTATGGATATAAATTATTTGTATGTATGCATGTACTATATACGTGAGTAAAAAATAATTTCACAGATACGAGAATAAAGGCATAAACCGACTGTGATACAGGTAAATAGTGTGTGGTGGAACATAATCCTATTTTATTAATCGTCCACCATAGCTATGTAATTCCCCAAAGTAGCAATCTACTATCACTTTGGTGAATACCTGAGAAACATGACCGTCGAAATCCTAACAAATTTCTCTATGCGACAGCACAATGACAGAAATTTATTAGTCTTAATACTTTAAATGGGATAAAGTAGAAAAACGGCCAGCGAAACTGCACACAAATTAGATATATATTTACGTTTGTATGCGCACAGTTACATAATGGCATACRCCACTAATAGACGGTTGGTTTTGTTTGGCTTAAAACAAAAACACTTGCCGCACACACAAACACACATATTCTCASTCAGAAAGAGCCACGCGTTGCAATCAAGACGCAATGCTGAAACACAAGTTCAAGGTGGCAATGTGGCAATGTGGTTACAATCAGGAGCRTAGTGTGTGTGTGCCTTTAAGTAGCAGTAGTTAGGTGCTAAGCTGGTCAGCTGAGTGTCTTAAGAAGTAGCGCTTGGCAGTTCAACTGGCATATTACAGCTGCACATTCGCAAATACGTACATGCGAATATAAAAGGCGGTCGTTACTTTTGACTCGTGTGTTGGCTTAGCAAGACTTCAAATATCGCATAAATCACACTTGTCACTTCTGGCCGAACTTAGTATGTAGTTATATGCGGGCAGATAAAGAAATATGTATGTATGTATATAATTGTGTAAATAAGTAAGTCGTACGTCGCTAGCAGAGCTCATGTACCACAAGCCTTAATTGGATTATTCATTTGTTTTTGTATTTCCGCAATACATTATCACACGGAGGCTTTCCGTAAGTTTTAGGTGAGGTTAATTAAGCAATTGTGTTACTAAATAAGGTATTTGTATAATTAATTAAACATTAAGTATCACATGTGATACATATACAACAATTTGTGTATAATTTCAAACATTTACATTTACAAGTCGTAGCGGATATAGCTCARACAACAAGCTACATAAGACCTCAGTGGATGCTTATTCACGCTTCTTATTCAATCTRTATTCAATGTTTATTTTTCCAGTCCACTGTAGTGCAGTGTTAGTTTCTAYACTCCACATTTTAGCATTATTCAAAATATTAATTCAAGTTTCAATTTTTCGTTCCCAATTCGACTCTTCAATATTCGGAAAAGCTTCCTAAAMTTTTTTCTGATAATTTCGGATAGAGCAATTCAGGTTAGTACTTAAGCCTTTAAGTTTTCCCAAATATCAAAACTATCTTTATTTATTCTTAAATGCCCATTTAAGAAAGGTAAAATTCTTTGCTGCATATTTTTTCGCAAAGATAATAAAATCACTTTTCACACAACTATGTAATAGTAATTATGAAGTATCTAAGGCAATTAAAGGTTATTATSTTATAAAATTAATGACATTTATTACTGTTTATATATAACATACTAGAGGACCCGTCCACGCTTCACTGCGGCTGATACATAGATAATACTACTACTGCCATCTATATGATTTCAATTAGTTGGATCACATTTATTAGTTAATGAGATATAGCATTTTTGTGAAGCAACTTGTTTTAGTTTACAAAATGTATCATAAAACAATTTATGTGTCAATATAGCGCTTCTTTTTGGGAAAAAATACTGCTGRGTTTGAGCTCATAGAAATCCACCTTTTGGCGGGTGGCAAAGTAAAACACGGTTTAAGCCG